TGATCCCAGGGTCCTGGGATCGAGCCCCGCATCGGGCTCCCTGCTCGGCGGGAAGCCTGCTTCTCCCTCTCCCGCTCCCCCTGCTCGTGTTCCCTCTTTCGCTGTCTCTCTCTCTCTGTCAAATAAATAAATAAAATCTTTAAAAAAAAAAAAAACCTCATGTATGCACTGGCTGTCATCAGGGTAGCAGGCATGTGATGGTCTTGTTTTAGCATTTAATTCAATGATGCACTTGCAGATTTGGGTAAAGATATAAATTTGATTCAACTGATCTCATTTAACAGCTTATGAAAGAAAGCTTCAATTTACCTTTTTTCCATTTGTTTTGCTTCAGCATTTCCCTACCAAGTAGGTCTGATTGTACTGTCACCCTCACAGTCAATGTATAGATAAATATAGTGGGAAATAATCACTGGGAGGAAAATTAAGGTTTGGGTCATACATCAACTCTGCTTAGTTGGCATCCAAACACATAATTCACATTGCTGAACAGACTCCAGTGATTGCTTATCCATTACAGATCAATTGCAGAAAAGGCTGTAACATTATTAGAAGCATAATTTAGGGATCCTTTAAACATTTAAGATTTAAACCTCACTTACTGAATAGCCAATACACAGTAATTAACCCATGTGTGAAATTAAATTCAACCCTAAGGGATATTTATATACATGTTGTTTTCAATCCTGTTTGAAGCCCTTCTAAGCAAACTGTACGCTGAAGGATCAAAAGGCAGTCTTAACCAACCAGACTCCAAACCACCACCTATCCTAAAGAATATCACCTTACCATTCATCACCTGCATAATATAAAACATCCAAATGTATATATCTATAGCCCATTAAGAAACTCATTTGTCCAATATTAGGCTGTTTAAATTTTATAATGTACTACCCATTAACATCCACAACCATTGAGCAGTTGAATAGTTTTCTTTGTCCGTCGCTGCTCAGAACCCACTTCTACTGCCGTCAGCATTCCTGTTTGATCACATAGTATCTGGTGAAAATCTGCCTTTCTTTGCCCCAGGCTCCTTATCTCCAAGCGCCATCTTAACCAAGGTAGAGGGCCGAGAAAGTAGGGATGACCCTGGGAAGTCCATCAAAACTAAGACGAGAGTTTTCAAATCACGATCCTATAGACAAAAGTAGGAAAAGTTTTCACAGAAGACAAACAATCGCTGTTGTCTTGCCAGCTCTAAAAGTTGTAAGAAGTGTAGAGGTCACCTCACCCACCCTCTGATACCAAACTCCTACATAAAGCCTTCTGTCATTCAAATGTAAAACGTTCTACTGTTAGAGAGCAGGAAAATCCATGTATCTCCTCTGAATGTGTGTTGAGTTTCTGTAGAATTTAAATCCCCTACACAAGATTCCTTAAGTTTTGCACAAGGCCAGCTAGGTGTGGACCAAGAACAAAATCAGAGATTTCAGGCTGTGAAAAGCAGCTTTGAAGCTTTACCTCCTTCTTTCCTTTGGATCTGAAGTCTGAAGAGAAAGGTTAAGCATAGGGCCAATAGGCTCTTGGCTCACTCCCGGTCTTGAAGAAAGGAGTGTCTTGAAGGAAGGTGCTCAAAGAAAGGTCCATGCATTCTGAGCTGGTGCAAGGATATTGCTTGGGAGCTCCATGGTCCGGTTGCCCTTGGAGCTACTCCAAGCTGGGGACTCTAATCCCTCACTTGCCAGAATAGAACACTTGGCTATTGGGCCCTGCTTCACTCCGTTGCCTCTGGGGCCTCACCGCCTCCTCCTCTCTCTGGGCCCTCTGTCTTAGTCAAGTTTTCTCGGGCTCTATAAGCATTAGACAAGTTTAACTAATCCTTTCTCTGCCTGAAGAGATTGGTAAACTTACATTCTCATGTCATATTCACAAATTCTGACTGTTACAAATAGCATCATGTCTTATCACCTTTACACACAGTAATGCGTGTGCATCACCATGCTTGAACTGGGGAGGGACCATTATACACATCATGGATAGTCTGGGGAGTCCAGGTTTTGGTGAGTGAGACATTTTAATGTTTTCCAGCTCTTATGGTTAAGAAATTACATCTTACATGTAACGCTATCGGTGAGATTAAATTCTCCTTTTCCTCTTTTAATGAAATTGAAATTATTTTTCACCATCATCCTTACAAAAATCCTTTCAGGGGGCGCCTGGGTGGCTCAGTCGTTAAGTGTCTGCCTTCAGCTCAGGTCATGATCCCAGGGTCCTGGGATCGAGCCCCACATCAGGCTCCCTGCTCCACGGGAAACCTGCTTCTCCCTCTCCCACTCCCCCTGCTTGTGTTCCCTCTCTCGCTGTGTCTCTCTCTGTCAAATAAATAAATAAATAAAAATCTTAAAAAAAAAAAAAATCCTTTCAGCGCATGAACACTTTTTAAATGATAGTCCTTAAACACCACTGTCTTCTCCATTGAATAGACCCATCTGAAGTACCCTTTCCTTATTGGTCCTTTTTATATTTAGGTGTAAACTCCTTTAGACAGGAATATGTCTATTTTAATGGATTCTGACCAATAGGTAATAAGGACTCTCTCATTACATGCACTACTTTCTCGGGAGGAGGAGAATACTGGCTAATATTTACTGAGAGCTTAGCGTATGTCAGGTATTTTTCGTAGGGCTATACATGGAATCAATCGATTCATTCCTCATGAAGTATTATTATTTAACCCCTTTTTACAGATGAGGAAATTGAGGCATGGAACAGTCAAGTTATTCTGTGCAAGTTATAAAGCTTAGAAGGGTCTAGTAATAAAAAGAGAAACAAACACGGTGTATATCCACTGCTTTGATCATTTCCTCAACAAGTAACCAACTCCTGCCACAAAGGCCCATATTCTCCACAGATAAAGTCTCTTGAAACTAAATAATAAAAAAGCTAAAATTGAGAGCAGAATCCCTCTCACTGGTCCACATCCATGAAGTCCACCATTTCCAGCATAATTTCTAGTTATCCAGTTGTTTGCAGTACTTCCTCTGCCCTTAGAAATACTTAAACTGATTGTATCCAGAAATAAGATCTTCTTCAAGTATTTTAATCTTTATAATTAAACTAGTCTCTAGTTGTCAGAGGTAATTTTGTTTGCAGATACTATTAATATGTGATTCTTTCTTACGAGTCTCTCTGCCACAGAGAAAATTGCGTGTAAAATGCAAAGAGAGTTAAGATGGAAAAACTTAAACTCAGATATCTTTTTAGATGAACTCTATTGGCTAGTGAGACTTTCTAAATCCATGTCAGCCTCTTAGTAAGTAGATTTTGCAAAAATAAAAAAATATATTTCTCTGAATTTCTCTACAGGGAAATGATGAAAACATAAGTAATATGTGATCATGAACAATTAATACTTGAAAGTGAGCTTTGTTTCTAAGTATGAAAAATAAAATAAAAATCACCCATAATTCCATTAAAAAATCACTACTTAACATTTCAGCACCTTTTCTTCCAGTTTTTTTTTTTTTTTGGTCCATTTTTAAAGCATTGTTAATAAGCTATCTTTGAAAACTCAAGGTTTATTTGAACCCTGTATTCAAGAAGTTTGTCCCTTGGATATTTACTCAAAGAAAGAGAAAACACTAATTCGAAGAGATACATGCACCCCTATGTTTATTGCAGCATTATTTACAATAGCCAAGATTTGGAAGCAGCCCCCAAGTGTCCATCAATAGATGAATGGATAAAGGAGGTATATACACACGCGCACACACACACACAAACACAGACACACACAATGGGATATTAACCATAAAAAAGAATCAGATCTTGTCATTTGCAACAACATGCATGAAGCTAGAGCCTATTATGCTAAGAGAAATATGTGAGACAGAGAAAGACAAATACCATATGATTTCACTTATATGCAGAACCTAAAAAACAGAATGAATGAACAAAAAACAAAAACAGAATCATAAATACAGAGAACAAACTGGTGCTTGCTGAAGGAGAGAGGGTTGGGGGAATGAGTGAGGTAGGCGAAGGGGATTAAGAGGTATAAACTTCCGGATATAAAATCAATAAGTCACAGCATAGGAAATATAGTCAAGAACATTCTAGTAACCTTGTATGTTGACAGATGGTAATTATGCTTGTCATGGTGAGGATACTGTAGTGTATAGAATCATCGAATCACTATGTTTTACACCTAAATGTAATATAAAATTGTATCTTAACTATACATCAAAAAAAGAAGGAAAAGTGTGTCCCCTTGTCCCCAGGAAAAAAATTCTATTGTCTCCGTGCCCTCCTGTAATGTATTAATCCCCTTCAAAGGCAATTCAATGTATTGAAAGAAAAATAAAATTATTTTAGCCACGCTGCTGTTACCTATCCTATTCGGAAAAGAATTGCTTCAATTAAAATCAAAGATTAACAAATGATGATTAGCGTGCATCCCCTCGTCTCTGAAGGTGATTTAGCTATTCTCAGTTGGTAGCTCTCAAAGATGGTATTGAAGCGTACGTGCAATAAAAGGGTCAAGTTTAAGACTGCTTTAAACCTCTGCTCTCCATCCCTGTTAATGGCCTTCCTGGTGTTAGAGATTTGTTTAATGATCAACAGCGGCTTCTGTTCCTACCACTGAGCCTTTCACAAAGTAGCATAACCAAGTCAATGTTTAACTGGATTCTTTGGGCCTGGAATGGCAGAGTAGGAGCTGAAGGGACATCTCCATGGAAACCAGCCTCCCAGGCAGTGGCCAGAGGGTTTACTGTGTGGTGAAAGAAAGCTAGAAAGATGCCATGAAGTGTTTCGTGGAGCTGCGGTACAATTCTGACGGACCTTAATGAGGACAAGCTAAGTTCAAGGCCCCAAACCACTTTCACCATGGTTGTGCTTTGAATACCTTTACTGTGAAATGGGCCTGAGCCATTCTAAGGCTCACCCTCGGGTGACCAAAGTAGCCCCCTTGGAAAACGAAGAGGAAGAGGCTCCCTCCGCCAGCCCCGTGGCCTTTGCGTTCGGCCAGAATCTGGAAGGAAAGAGTTCCTATGTGTTCGCAAGGCTGCAGGATCGGAATACAGCTTCGGGAAGGCAGCCACCACCTCTCCGGGGGTGTGGAAGACACTCGGCAGGTAGGTGTGACACCGTCGTGAGGTTTGCGGAGTCCGGCCAAGGGAAGCTATCGACAGACGTACTGGACTGTCTGTCTCCATAATCCTATCAGGAAGTTTCCAAACGGCTGAAACCTAAGGGGCCAGCTTTCAACTCGAGGCTGCGTGTTTGTCGAGTATTCCGGGCACATTCGAACCGGTGTGTAAACTCTGCGCCGAGGGCTCTTTACCGTTCCACACGAGAAGGAAAAAACCATTTTGTTTCAGCTTAGTTTACAGTGCTCTCAATGTTTATACCTAGCTTTGCCAGACGATTAAAATTATATAGATAAGATGTGATAAATTATGACAATCATATGTTTCAGTTCGATTCTAAATTTAAATCATTCTCTTCAGAACCATTTAGTGCATCAGGCTTTGTTGTTTTGAAAGCAACACTTGAGGAGTGAATTCATCCTAATGTGAATTTGGAAACCACCCCAAACAGAACTGATTTATTGCAGTACAGATGAGAGGATGAGTCACCCCTCCCCAACCCCACATTCTTCACGCAGAATATGAACTAAGTTCTGTCATCTGCAGAACTAAGAGAATTTTCCCCCATTAGGATTGGAAGCTCTGAGCCTGAAGTGGCTATAAATTATCCTGGGATATTTTATAAGACATATAAAATATTTATGACAACCACAATGATAATTAAACAGTGATTCTAACTTGGGAAGAGAAATACAAGTATATAATGCATAGGTATATATCTATGTAATTTTTTCTTTATTTATATTCTGGATCAATAACACAAAAAGTTCCCATTACTGGTCAACTTGGCCAGAAAGCCTTATATTCTCTTTCAGTGTCAGGTATCTCTCACCCACACTGATTCTCATGGCTATTTTCTGAAGAGCTGACAACCTTTGACAGGGAAGATGGCCTATTTTTATGTCTCCAACTTCCTAAGCACGTGAATGGGAATTTTCCTGTAGTTTCATTGAAGAGTTCCTTTTTTTATTCAAACCATGTATCCAGAGTTTTAAGATTCTGGTAACTGAATAGTGAAAACTGATTCTAATGCATTAAAGTCCCACCTGGAAAATAATCTTATTTTTGAAATGACAAAATCACATTAAAAATAACAAAGGGATGGATGGTGAACATTCTGATCACTAATTTTAAGAGACCCGTATTCTAACTCAGCTCCACCAAATGCCAAGTTGTATGAGTTTGGGAAAATTACTGCATCAATTTCCTTCACCTATAAATCAAGGATAAAAATAAAACTGCCTGACACAGCCTCTGCCATTTTGGATGAACCGAATTAAATAATGAGGTGTTACCACTCAAATCATAACATAAAAATCAGGAGGAGTCAGGCTGCTGAAGAAAGTGTTGCCAGAAATACTTACATTTCTTAACTGAAAAGGTTTTGTTGTTGTTCTTGTCATTGCTGTTGCTTCTGCCTTGTTCAGTGTGCCAGCATCTCTTGAAAGAAAATACAGACATGGTGAAGTTTTTAAGGTGGTCGTTCAAATGTTGTGAGGATAGAAACACATAATTACACAGGGATTTTTCCATTTAGAATGCAAAGTGAAACTGTGGGATAGTCTCTGCAACAATCTAGAAATTAGAATGCTTCCGGATTACTAAGAGGAAAAGACAAAACTTCCTTCATGCAGCGTTGATCATGGTAGCAGTCCTACCGCCCCGGGGTAATCAAGCTAAAACATAAAACCCATAATGGACCTCTTGAGTCCTAGCTGTTTCCTAACAAGGCTTACTCTGTAGCCCTAGCTTGCTTCATCAGGAAAGAATATTGATGTGTTGTATTATAGGGCAACTTGTGGGAATTTCTTTCCCTAGTTGGGGGGACTATTATTTAATTGGGAACATACAGTGCTAAATATTGCATACTCCTGTCCAAACTCATGCTCCATTTTTAAAATCATCTATCTAATACCTACCCATCTATCTGTCCACCATCCATCTATTTCATCTGAAAAGAGAATTTATTTTCATTTCTTAAAGATATATTTTTTCTGATTTCCGAAATTTATTTTGGAGCAATTTCATGAAATTAAAAAGAGTTTCTATTTTCCAGACCAAATTCTGTGTTTGAACAATATTTGTAGTCAATACATTTTTTATTTTTCCAATCCATTATAATATAAATCCAATATAAATTCCATCCAGTATGAATCCAGAGAAGAAATGAGGAAAGCAAAAATTAAATCCTGGGTCTAGGCTAAATTTTATCCTTTGCATTCATGTAGGGTCTCTGCCTTACGTGTTTCATCTCCACATTCAACATGTAGGTTAGACATATATAACTAAAAAGGTACCAAATTGTATTAACAAAGTCTAATGATTAGTCGAATTTAATAGTCAATTTGTTTATGGTTTGTTTTTATTTCTCTCCCAATCCTTCAAGTGCCCAGGGCCATGTATTTTGACATCCCACTGGAACATGGAGAAACAAGTATTATTAAAAGTCATCCACCCCGAAGACTTCAAGTAAGATGAATTTAAAAGGCTTCATAAGGAATTTCTTGGATTTCATGGTAACATCCCTTTTTAACTCTAATAAAGGAGGGATATTGCAAATGACTAAGTTAGTAAGAATGAGAATGTTGTTAAAGAGAATGCTGTCAGTTACAAAGACCTTATTTCTTTAGGATTTCCTTTTGTAATGATTTCACTTTTAAGACCACCACCAAAAGAAGGAAACATAGTATCAAAGACACAGGTCCCATGTGATTCAAAAGACCTGCATCTGGTACTGATGAGCTAGAGGACTGTGGAGAAATCACTTGTAACAAACAATAATAACAAGCATAACAGCTAGGACTATTTAATTAGCACCTACTTCAAGTCAGATAGACTCTGCACAACTTGATCAGTGTCAATCATTTAATCTTCATACGCCTGTAGGAGAAAGGAGGTATTATCTTTGCTTAATACATGTGGTTTAGAGAATTAAGTAACTTGTCCAAGGACAGTGGAGGTCAGCTATCCACCAGATCTCCAAAGCCCATGCTCTTAACTATCAGCATCATTGATCTCTACAGACCTTCTATCCCTAACCTTCTATTGTTCTAAATGTTAACTGGTTGCTGAAATTGAGGACATCGGATTCCAAGGCAGCAAAGCAAGAGCTTTAAATGCATTCACCTTAATAAATATTTAATGAATTCCCTCTAGAGAGTTACAAATTCTAAGAACTCTTCATCGTAGAAAGGGAAAGAGATCTGAGTGGATCCTTGAAAATGAGCATCAGCTAAGAGAAGGGGTTGTTTGGGCTCTCCTGTGAGCAGGATCTATCACTGACATTTGAAAAAAGGAATTGGAAAAAAAAAAAAGAAAAAAAGGAATTGGAGCCAAATCCCACCTGCTACACAATTCACCCAGATATCTGGACAAATCCCAGAGGTATTTTAGTTCATTTGTTGGGGGTTATTTCTGTTTCAGTTGGTTTTTATTTACCTGTCTTCTCCAGAAGCTCACAATCATTGTTTGAAGTGATTATATCTTTTGTTCACAAAAGAAGCATTTTTCCCAAAATATTGGAAACTCAAAACATTTTATTTAAATAAAAATAAAGTATAATTATATCGAATTGATACATAGTTTTAAAACTTTTGAGCAAATCTCTAGCTAAACTGGACAATTTAAAAACTTAGTTTTCTTCCTAAATCAGATGTACCTCTTCAGAGGAATGTGCTTAATACGTGTTCCTGTGGAGGCAGAAAGCCGAATAACTCAGGAGATAGGACTATAACCAGTGAAAAGTATTCATGTAGCAGTCTGTAGCTCACAAAGTACGTTTTATATCTATCAACCCTAAAGCAGCTAAAGTCAGGCTTTGATTCTCAGATCAGTTCAAGCTCACAAGGAGAACTTTCGTGTTTCAGAACTAAATACTATATCCCCACATCCTAACCCACCACCTTAAAAATCAAGACAAATGAATCATTCGAGTGCAAAGACTATGTCTTATTCTGTCTTATATCTTCAGTCACTAACACTTAACATGTACCCCCCAAAAAGCTTATGAATGAATGGTGAATGAATGACAATGAGCCCCATTATCGCTGGTAGGAACAAAATTCAAAATGCATTCTCCCTGCTATCGCAGACCTATAGCATCCCTGAATTGTAAGTCTAATTGACTAGCTGCCAATGTCATGGATTACGAAGATGTAGGGAGTGTTTGTTGAACCCCAGAGCTGGGAAGCAGTTGGGCTTCAGCTTTCCTCGGAACCTGAAAGGCACAACCCTCTCTGTGTCTACCCTAAGCTCTTCTCCGTGCATTTGCTTTATTCTTCCTGCAAATCGACTTTCTCTGCTCCTCAAGACCACTTGGTGAAATATGGCCACCCTCAGTTCCTGAATTTACATTTTATAGTTCCAGTCAGACAGACAGATTAGCCTGGCTCTCTTGGCTCCAATTCAAAATTCCTGGGAGGAAAGATCTTATTGGCTCAGCTTTGCTCATGATTCCAGTTCTGTTCCAATAAGCTATGACCAGAGGATATGCTCATGCAGTAGAAATGTGGGCAGAGAAGCCCCCCTCCCCCACCCCGATAAATTCTGGAAGCAGCTCCCAGAGAAGAGGGAAGTCACTGGGAACTTGGCAGACACTCCCAAAGATATCAACTATAATTATCTTCACAAATGAGGCTCAGCACATTTTCCACCACAAATGGGTTTTTGAGAGAAATAATAAATGCTGGGTTCCCATGACATGCTAATTAATAGCCTAATCTCTGCCAAAGAAAATTCTAAAAGTATTTTTAATTATTAAACCAAATCTAATTGCATCCTAAATACTTTGAGTTGCACATTTGGCACTCTCCACTTCCTAAACATCTACTCCTCAAGTAAAGAGCAGGTCATGAACTAAAGTTCTTCAGATCGGGGCTGCTGAATTCAGAGAGCCTCTGCCAGGGAACTCTGAATCCAACGTGCCTACCTCGTGTTGAAAAGTTGATCACCACTGTCCCTCCTGGCCTGATTCACCTTCTCATCCAACCATCTCCGGTCCACCTAAGGGGGAGATGGTCAACCGCCCCCACCCCCAGGGCCCCATGTAATGTGATTTCCTCAGATGACTTCCTCTTTCATCTCCCAAGATTTTCTTAAATCTTTTCTTAAATCTCACCGTCCTGCAGGCTTATAGTGATAACCTCATGACAGTTAGTTACACGTGACAGTTGGTTACCTTACCCTGACGCTCCTGGTTCCCATGAACCACCACTATCTTTTCTTTTCCTCAGAACACTGACATCTAACACACCAAGCTATTGACTTCTATTATGTTCACTGTGTATTTTGTTCATCACCTCCCTGCCAGTGCTAGAATATTATTTTTCCCACAGGCAGAGATTTTTGTCTGTTGTCTTCACTAATGAATCTAAGTGTCTAGAACAGTATCTGGCACATAATAGGTGATCAATAAATATGAGTTGAATAAATGTTGAATGAAGGAATGCAGAGGGGGAAAGAGGAGTATAAGCCCTGCAGGTGGGAGATAAGGAGGGCCGTTCCAACCTGGGTGGTTTTATTGTGTTGTTTTCAGTATTATATAATTAGTCACAAATGTATTCTCTTTCCTTATCTTTTCTCTTTGCCCATTTTCGATTATCTGTTTCTTTGTGATTTGTGAGAGTGCTTTATATATCTTAGATCTAGCCCTTCATTAGTTACACGTGTTACAAATATCTTTTCTCCATTTATGGTTTGCCTTTTCATTTTGTGCGCGCGTGTGTGTTTGTGTGTGTGTGGACACAAAGATTTCCACTTTAAATGCTGTCAAATTTCTCAATCTTAGTCTTTATGTTTTGTATTTCTTGTATTTTGTCTGAGAAATTTTTATTTTCCCCAAGGTCATAAAGATACTCTTCTTTAATTCTTTTTTTTTTTAAGATTTTATTATTTATTTGAGAGAGAGAGAGAAAAAAAGAATGAGTCCACTTTAAATGCTGTCAAATTTCTCAATCTTAGTCTTTATGTTTTGTATTTCTTGTATTTTGTCTGAGAAATTTTTATTTTCCCCAAGGTCATAAAGATACTCTTCTTTAATTCTTTTTTTTTTTAAGATTTTATTATTTATTTGAGAGAGAGAGTGTAAGCGAGAACGAACACAAGCAGGGGGAGGGAGAGGGAGAAATAGTCTCCCCACTGAGCAGGGAGCCTGACTCGGGGCTCGATCCTAGGACCCGGGGACCATGACCTGAGCTGAAAGCAGACACTTAAACAACTGAGCCACGCAAGCACTTCTTTACTTCTTTCTGAAATTTATAATATTTACCTTTTCACATTTAGGCCTTAATCCATCTGAAATTCATTTGTGTGCAGATGTGAATTTGGAATTTAACTACTTTTTTTTCATTTGAATAATCTATTGTCCTGGGGAGCCTGGGTGGCTCAGTCATTAAGCGTCTGCCTTTGGCTCAGGTCATGATCCCAGGGTCCTAGGATCGAGCCCCGCGTCGGGCTCCCTGCTCTGCGGGAAGCCTGCTTCTCCCTCTCCCACTCCCCCTGCTTGTGTTCCCTCTCTCGCTGTCTCTCTCTCTGTCAAATAAATGAATAAAATCTTTAAAAAAAAATCTATTGTCCCAATACTCTTTATGGAATCATCCTTCTTTGACCATTGATTTAAAAAGTTACTTCGGTCCCATATTCAGTTTCCAGAGCTTCATGAGTCTATTTTCAGGCTCTCTCTTCTGTTGCATTGGTCTATTTGTGTATCTCCATAGGAATTTCTCAGTCTTAATTATGTATCTTTAAGTCTTAATATCTAAAACAATAAGTGCTTTTATTTTTCTTTTTCAGAATTATCTTTGTTATTTATGATGCTTTGGTCTTCCATGTGAAGTTTGGAGCTTTTTATCAAGTCCATTAAAAACCCTGCTAACATTTTGATTGAAATGCACTCATAGATTAATTGGGCAAAAATTGACCACATTTATAATACTGAGTCTTCTAAACCACACACATTGCATAAATCTCAATTTACTCTGATTTTCTTTTAGATCTTTTAATAACGTTTCATAATTTCTCCACAGGGGTTTTGTGTGAGGTTTTTTTTAGGTTTGTTTCTAGGTACCTATATCAGTCAGTGTTCAACCAGAGAAACAAAACCAGTAGAAGGAGATTATATATATATATGTGTAATATTGCAAGGAATTGGCTTACGTGATTGCGGAGACTGGCAGGGCAAGTCTGAAATCCACAGGGCAGGCCATCAGGGAGGTCAGGCTGCAACTGCAAGGCATGAGCTGAAGCTGCTGTCCATAAATAGAATTTTCTGTTCTTCAGGGGAGCCTCAGCTTTGCTCTTAAGACCTTTTAACTGATTGAATCAGGCCCACCCAAATTACTTAAAATAATCTTCCTTACTTAAATCATTATGAGGGTGCCTGGGTGGCCCAGTCAGTTAAGTGTCCAACTCTTGATTTCGACTCGGATAGTGCTATCTCAGCGTCCTGAGATCGAGTCCCGAGTCAGGCTCCATGCTCAACATGGAGTCTGTTTGGGGTTCTCTCTCTCCCTCTGTCTCTGCCCCCCCACCTTTGCGTGCACTCTCTCTCTCAAAATAAATAAAATCTTAAAAAAAAAAAAAAAGTCAAATGCTTATGGACTTTAATCACCTCTACAAAATAATGTCACAGCAACACCTAGATTAGTGCTTGAGTAACTGGAGGCTATACCCTAGGCAAGTCAATGCTCACCATCAAAATAACACTGTGGGGGTTTTCCCCTCCTATTATGAACATCTTGAGTGAAATCATGGTATTTGTCTTTCTCAGTCTGACTTATTTCACTTAACACTATACTCTCTAGGTCTGTCCATGTTGGAGCAAATGGCAAGATCTCATCCTTTTTTATGGCTGCTTAATATTCTTCATGTTCAACGTTTTGATAATGCTTGTAAAACAAATCTTCCAACTTACATTTTGACGCAGCTCTCTTGTACTGGGTAGAAAGGTAGAGAACAACTCAGTCTCTGATGTCAAGCTGTGATCCTGGCTCTAGTTTGCCATCTTACATGGTGCATCTTTAGGTCCCCTTTAATCTCTAGAAATAACTCACAGCCATCAGGAGCCCTGAACGCCTTATGGATCAACTTCCTCTAAGTATGTATTTCTGCTTGTTTTCTGGTCCATGGAGATATATATCTTGTATTAAAGCCCAACCACATCTTTTTGGCTTTATGTTTTATTTTTCATTTGGGGCAAAGAAAATTATTGAAGTGTGAACTCATTGTAATGCCTTGACCAGAAATTCCACCTTGGGCTCATGATTTCTTGCTTCCAGGTTGCCCTGGACACCTTTACCTTCTTCTGAGAACCTTAAAGGACATACATTCTTAAGTTATGGTGCCAAACAAATGTTGCAATTTCTTTGAGCTTCTCCTGCCCATCTTTCTCTTCCTGTTACTATGCAGGAACAACCATCTCAGGTTAGTGTGTCACCAAGCTCAGTGACTTCTGCTTGATTTAATCTCCATTTCGGAGTTTCCCAGCTGACACTTCAACTGATTAGCCTGACCATTTGTTTCACTTGAGAAACCAAATAACCCAGAAACCTTTAGACAGACAATACATTTTTTATAACATGAGATAAAAAAAGGTGTCATTATACCATACCAGTTCTCCAGTAATTCCTTCCCTTGTATTCTCTCTGAAGATGATGAAGTGAGGCAGTTTGCTTCCCCAGCAACAAAAAGGAACGTTGATACGGACCCAGAATTCTGGGGGAATTTCATTTGACTTGTTTTGTTTAGAGAAGCCAATTTTCCAACAGTTTTTTCTGCAGTGCTTCTCAGGCCAAGTGCAAATACTTATGGGAGGGATCCTATTTGCAATGTTAGTTGCTGCCATCTAGTGCCCTTTGTGGAGGAATAGTGTGATTCTTAGTTCTTTTCAAAGGCCAGGAAGAAAGTAATTGCCTGGAGGAGTTCTTAAAGACACCTACTCTTTAACTCCTATCAGAATTATGGGTTTAAATACAATGAGGCTGAAAATAGAGAAATATATATTTATATTTTCAAAGAAAAAGCTGGCCCTAAGAATTTATGGAGAGATTGTTTTGAAAAGCTGAAAATATTCAAATAGCTGGGGTCTTCAGATTCAATTTTTCAATAATGCACCGCAAACAAATCCTCTGCGGTCTACCCTGATGTAGTTCCTGTGTTCACTTGAGGCACTATGGGAGCCAGTGGACCCCAGCCTAGAAAATCATCAGAATCCCCTGGGGATATATTCCAAAGAAACGACTGAGAAGCTGGACTTCAATGAAATTCAAACCTTCTGCTCTGCTCTTGACATTGTCAATAGAATAAGAAGGCAAGTAGAGAAGATAAAAGAGGGCAAGTAAGCATATGAAAATACATTCAACATCATATGTCATCGGGGAAATGCAAATTAAAACAACAATGAGATACCACTATACACGTATTAGAATAGACAAAATCCAGAACACTGACAACACCAAATGTTGGCAAGGATGTGGAGCAGCAGGAACTTCTTATAAAACTAAACATACTCCTCCCATACAACCCAGCAATTGTGAGCCTTAGTATTTGCCCAAATGAATTGAAAACAGATGTCCACACAAAAACCTGCACAGGGATGAGTATGGCAGCTTTATTCATAATTTCCAAAATTTGGATGTAACCAAGAAGTCCTTAAGGAGATGTATGGATGAAGAAACTGTGGTACATCCATATAATGGAATATTATTCATCACTAAAAGAAATTAACTCCCAAGCTATGATGGAGATATGGAGAAAATTTAAAGACTGACTTATTTATTTGAGAGAGAGAGAGAAAAAAAGAATGAGCAGGGTAAGAGGCCAAGAGAGAGACAGAGAAGCAGACTCCGTGCTGAGCATGGAGCCCAACATGGGGCTTGATCTCACAACCCTGAGATCATGACCTGAGCTGAAATCAAGAGTTGGAGACTTAACCGACTGAGCCACCCAGGTGCCCTTATATGGAGAAAATTTAAATGTGTATTGTTAAGTGAAAGAGGACAATCTGAAAAGACTATATACTGTATGATTCCAAAAATACTGACATTTCAGAAAAGGCAAAACAACAGAGACGGTAAAAAGATCAGTGGTTGCCAGGGGATAAGAGGAGGAAGGGAGAGATGAATGGACAAAACACAAAGGATTTTTAGGGCAATGAAACTATTCTGTAGGATACTACGTTGGTGGTTACATGTCATTATACATTTGTCCAAATCCAATGGCTGTACAACACCAAGAGTGAACTTTAAACTATGGACTTTCAGTGATAATGACGTGTGAATGTAGGTTTATCAATTGTAACAGATGTACCGCTCTGGTGAGGGATGTTGATCGTGGAGGAGGTTGTGCATATGTGGGGGCAGGGAGTATCTGGGAACTCTCTGTACTTTCCAGTTTTGCTATGAACCTAAATCTGCCCTAAAAATTAAAGTTTATTATTTATATATATAATACGTATATTCATTCCCAGGACATATTCTAGACCTGTTGAATCACAATCCCCAGTGAATAGCCCAGGTTTTTTGGTGTGTGTGTGTATGTGTGTGTGTGTGTGTCTGTGTGTGTGTCTGTGTGTCTCTGTGTTTAATTTCAGGAGATTCTGATGATAAACCAGGTTTAGGAACAAGTAGAAGAGGAAGGAGCATGGGATTTGGAACTGGATTCAAACCTGAGTTTGAATTCTAAAGTTGCCATTTTCTAGCTGTGAAGCCTTGGACAATTTATTAACCTCTCGACAATGGGGAGATCATCATAATTACCCACAGGATTCATGGGAGGATTGAACCAGATGACATATTGTGACCTTGGGACTGACAGACAAGGGCAACTGTAAAGGCTCCTGAGCCGCATCACCAGAAAGAACTAGATCCTGAACCAAGTCCAGGAAATGGCACAAACACTGCCTTGTCCTCCCCTCAGGCCCTGAATACCCCCTTCGGTCACTGCTAATTCTTCTTCCCACAGGTGCCTGGATAGCTCTTTCCTCTTGGTCTCCATTCCCTGCAGGTTCTGATCTGATCGGCTGCTACCTCTTATGCCAGTAGGTCCCATTGGCCCAGCAGAGAAGAGAGCCAGACAAACCTCTCTCTTACTAATCCTCATCACCTCTCATGACATCCTTGCGCAGTTCTTATGCTAAAAGCCCCACTTTCTCCACCTGAGGTGAGAATGGAACAGGGAACCACTTTCTACCACAAATGCAAATTGTCTGGCAGAGGCACACGTCTCAACTAAAGATTATTTGTCTCTCCTCCCTGTCTCCAAATGCTTTGCCCTCGTTTTTGTCCTTGCCAGGTGAGCTTTGGGCTGTGCCAGCAGAAAGGAATGCGGGTTGTTCTCCCTAGAACAGCTCAGGCCCAGGCCCAGAGACCAGGGAATTGTTCTACAGAGAAGTAGCAGGAGGCACAGGTCATGCTCACCATGAGTGCTGGCTGCTCAGCATCCATTTCCCCGTCTCCTTCCTCTCTCTTTTCACTCTGGTCACCTTGAAAGCTGGCTTCCAGGTCTACCCCTTGATAATGCAACCAATCAGACTAAAATGAAAAATAATTTCAAAATAAATCATCATTTGCCTTTAGCGTTGGACTAAGGTGGGAGTGGTGCTCACACTGTTTGCTGCAGTGTGGTGTCCTCCTCATTTTCCTCCTACTTCTCGAGCCATCTCTTCTCTGTGTCCTTGGCCAGCTTGTCCCCATCCACCAGCTTCTCAGGTTGGAGCTCTTCAAGTCTTCAGTCCTTGGCTCTGCTCTTCTCACTCTTGACCTTATGGTCAAGATGGTCTTACCCATGACTATGGTTTCAGTTATTCTCTACTCAGGGATGATCCCCAAATATGTGTCTCTAGCATAGACCTCTCCTGTGAGCTCCATGCCTGTATATCTCATTATCTACTCAACATCTACACTGGTATGCCTCAAAGGCATCTCAAACTCAACCTGCTCTAAACTGAATTTGTATCCTCCTGTTATATCTCATTCACATCTGGCCTTCCCTAGGGTTCCCATCTCAGTGAATGATAACACTACCCATCCTTTGTATTTGGAGGCCATTTGGACCCTTCACTATTCCTCACCAACTATAACAAATCTTGTTTGGTCAGTTTTAAATATTTGTAGAGCCCACTGATTTCCTCCATGAGCCCTGAGCCCATCACCGTTGTCCTCCTAACTGCCCCCCCCC